AGGGCATTTGCCACCATCCATGAGTCAGTATAGAGATAAAGTACTGGCCATTTTTCTCATTCAGCAATATCTAAAGCCAGCTGGGTGGCTTTCACCTCTGCAAACTGACTCAATTCACTTTCTCCTTCACCAGTTTCTGCCACTTGTCGTATAGGAGTCCTTACAGCAGCCTTCCACCTCCGATGCCCTCCCACAATACGACAGGACCCATCAGTCAACAGGGCATATTGCTTCTCATTTTCTGGCAGTTTATTAAACCGTGGGGCCTATTCAGCACATGTCACCTCCTCCTCTGATGACATTCCAAAATTTTTGCCTTCTGGCCAGTCTATGATCACTTCCAAGATTCCTGGGTGACTGGGTTTTCCTGTTTGAGCCCATTGTGTGATTAGTGCAACCCACTTACTCCACGTAGCATCAGTTGCATGATGTGTAGAGGGGACCCTGCCTTTGAACATCCAGCCCAGCACTGGCAGTCGGGGTGCCAGGAGGAGCTGTGCTTCAGTACCGACCACTTCTGAAGCAGCTCGAACCCCTTCATATGCTGCCAATATCTCGTCTTCAGTTGGAGTAGTGGGCCTCGGATCCTCTGTATCCCTGACTGCAAAACCCTAGGTGTTGACCTCGAGTCTCCGCTGGTACTTTCTGCCAGAGGCTCCAGGTAGGGCCATTTTCCCTGGCTGCGTGCAGAGCACATTTTTTACACCTTGCCCTGCCTGGACTGGTCCAAGGGCTACTGCATGAACTATCTCCCATTTAACTTGTTCAAAAGCTTGTCGTTGCTCAGGGCCCCATTTGAAATTGTTCTTCTTTCAGGTCACTTGATAGAGAAGGCTTATGATCAGACTGTAATTTGGAATACGCATTCTTTGAAAACCCACAACGCCCAAGAAAGCCTGTGTTTCCTTTTTTCGAGTTGGTAGGAACATGGCTGTTATTTTGTTGATCACATCCACTGGGATCTGATGACGTCCATCTTGCCATTTTATTCCTAAAATCTGGGTCTCCTGTGCAGGTCCCTTGACCTTACTTTGTTTTATGGCAAAACCAGCCTTCCGACGGATTTGGACTATTTTCTTCCCTTTCTCAAAAACTTCTTCTGCTGTGTTGCCCCACGTGATGGTGTCATCAATGTATTGCAGGTGTTCCAGAGCCTCACCCTGTTCCAGTGCCGTCTGGATCAGTCCATGGTGAATGGTAGGGCTGTGTTTCCACCCCTGGGGCAGTAGATTCCAGGTGTACTGAACACCCTCCCAAGTAAAAAGCAAAATGTGGCCTGCACTCCATTGCTAAAGAGACCGAGAAAAATGCATTAGCGATATCAGTTGTGGCATACCACTTGGCTGCCTTTGGCTCCAGTTCATATTGAAGTTCTAGCATGTCTGGCATGGCAGCACTCAGCAGCGGTGTGACTTTGCTTAGGCCATAACAGTCTGCTGTTAGTCTCCACTCTGCGTTAGACTTCCGTACTGTCCATACGGGACTGTTAAAGGGTGAGCAAGTCTTGCTGATCAGCCAGTCGGCAAATCAGTTTATGGATGGGAATCAGGGAGTCTCAGTGCGATATTTCTGCCACTGCACTGTTGTGGTTGTGACTGGCACCTGTTGTTCCTTGACCCTCAGCAACCCCACAATAGAAGGGTCCTTCAAGAGACTGGGCAGGTAGACAGCTTTTCAATTTCCTCTGTCTCCAAGACAGCTATACCAAAGGCCCACCAGTACCCTTTTGGGTCCTTGAAATACCCTCTCCTGAGGTAGTCTATGTCAAGGATGCATGGAGCCTCTGGGCCAGTCACAATGGGGTGCTTCTGCCACTCATTCACAGTTAGGCTCACTGCAGCCTCCCGTACAGTGAGCTGTTGGGATCCCTGTGTCACTCCAGAAATAAAGATGGGTTCTGCCCCTGTATAACTTGATGGCATTAGGGTACACTGTGCACTGGTATCCGCTAGAGCCTTATACTCCTCTGGCTCTGATGTGCCAGGCCATCAAATCCACACAGTCCAGTAAACCCGGTTGTCGCTTCCCTCCACCTGGCAGGAGGCAGGGCCCCTCTAGTCCTGGTCATAGTATTCATTACTCACTTCTTGTAAATGTGAATAAGTCCCTTTATCAAGATCAGAAGTAAAATCAGCCCTTTTACTCTGTCTGGGGAACTGCTCACTAGAAACTGGAGCTGCAGTTTTCCTGGAAGAACTGCCTTTTGTAATTGTTTTTCCTTGCAACTCATGTACCCATGCCTCTAGGCTCGAGGTGGATTTTCCATCCCACTTCCTCATGTCCTCTCCATGGTCACACAGGTAAAACCACAGGATGGCCCGTGGTGTGTATCCACTACATCCTCTCTCTTGAGCAGAAGCATATTGACTCCAAATAGCTGAGAGACTGGTCCATATAGGTGGTGAGTAGATGTATCCTCTTTGAGTTGCTGGAACTCCCAGGACAGTTTTTCGGACAGTTTTTCCACAGCTGAGATGCAGGCCCGTAGGGAGGAAGAGAGACTTTCTTTGTATTCCTGGAGTTGGCCAGCCAATTCATCCGCCACTGCTTCCTCTTCATCTTTCCAGGTCATTACTGCCAATGACTTTGCAAGCGACAACTGTGTGTTCCATACAAATTTCCGCCACATGGGCCGTGTGCACCTGACTTCATCTGGATCTTTGGATAACTGCTCATTGTTCAGGACATCATAAATCACCTCCAGCATGGCCAAATTCCCTCATGTACTGGATACCTCTCCATGGTGGCCCACTTGCCGGTGTGACATATAACATTTTCCTTTAAGGGATACCTTTCCTTCACACCTGTCAGGAGTCACCTCCAGAGGCTGAGGGTTCGTGCCCCTTTTCCAATCGCTTTGTCAATGCCCCCTTTCCTAGAAAGGGATCCCAGATGCTTGGATTCCCTACCCTCTAATTTCAGGCTACTGGCCCTGCTATCCCAGCATTGGAACAGCCAGGTGACAACGTGCTCACCTGGATTACAACTGAAATCTTTTTTTGTATCCCGCAGCTTCACTCAGGGATGGGGATCGGGTGTTTACCATCTCATTTATGGGTTACTCCTCTTCCTCCTCCTGTTCTTGTGAGGGCCGTGGTTCATCTTCATCCCTTACTGAATAAGCTTATTTTCTTGTGCATTTTTTCTTGTGTATGGGAGCGACTGATACCAGCATGAGTTGGTTCTCTGGTTCAGCTGCAGTACCTGTTGTGGGGGTTGGAATATTTGCAGTGCTGGCTGTCAGGGTTAGAGCAGACACAGTGCCTGTTGCAGGGGTTGGAGCAGCCACAGTGCCTGTCATTTTGTCATCAGATCCACCTTCTCTTCCCTGTGAGGGTTCTGAATAGTGTTGAACAGGGTTCAGTAGGTATGGGCCAGACCCTAGCACAGTGAGCAGTGATCTGTGTCTCTTTGAAGTTGCCAGGGTGACAACATACTTTTTCCAAATACTTTACTAGTTCTTCAGGATTCTGCACTTGTTCAGAGGTGACATTCCAAAACAGCGGAGGTGCCCACTGTCCTAGGTACTTGCCCATACTATCCCACAGACCCTGCCACTCATAACTATCCAGACTCAGGGCAGATCTTTGGATGATATTCTTAAATTGCTTATTAACCTTCGTTAAAACCAAAACAATATTCCCAAGAAATACCAATAGAAGTATCTTAACTACCCAAGGATATTCAAGATACCAAAAAGTTATTGTAATGAAGGAGGAAAGATCATAGAAGAAGGTAGTGAAGGTGCCATTCTGTATTTCCTCCATAAAAAGCCTCTCAGAGGAAGAGGTATAATTGCTAGTTGTCTCCATGAGGTGGTACCTGAAGTACAATAATGGCTTCAGTACAAAACCCAAATACCAGGGAAGAGGTATAATTGCTAGTTGTCTCCATGAGGTGGTACCTGAAGTACAATAATGGCTTCAGTACAAAACCCAAATACCAGGTTAAGCTCAAGGCCAGTGCTTTAATAGCAAGTCTCCCAGGCAAAACATCACTAATCACTGCACAGCACAGCAAACTGCAAAAACCAACACTAATCTTTAACATGTACAGCAAAAGAAGAGCATGGTACAGATCAGATCAACTACTATTGAGAACAGATGAATCAATATTGTGACAGGCAACTGTTAACAGATATAAATTCCTTTATACACTCTGGTTAATCAGTTATCATCTCAAACCCTTCGTGCTCCACATTGGGCGCCAAAAAGGACTGTCGTGGTTTAACCCTCGCCAGCAACTAAGCACCACAGAGCCACTCGCTCGCTCCCCCACTCAGTGGAATGAGGGAGAGAATGGGAAGAGTAAAAGGGAGAAAATTCATGGGTTGAAATAAGAACAGTTTAATAACTGAAATAAAGTAAAATAGTAATAGTAAGAAGGATAAGGATATACAAAGCAACTGATGCACGATGCAATTGCCCACCACCCGCCAAACGATGCCCAGCCAGTCCCAGCAGTCACAGTCCCCCAGCCAACCTCCCCCAGCTTATATAGTGAGCATGATGTCATACGGTATGGAATAGCCCTTTGGTCAGTTTGGCTATGCTCCCTCCCAGTTTCTTGTGCACCTGGCAGAGCATGGGAAGCTGAAAAAGTCCTTGACTTACTGTAAACACTACTTAGCAACAGCTACACCATCAGTGTGTTATTAACGTTATTCTCATCCTAAATCCAAAACACAGCACTATACCAGCTACTAGGAAGAAAATAAACTCTATCCCAGCTGAAACCAGGACACATGGCTGCAATACATTTGGCATTGCTGTCTTGTACTGATCTTAACTAGAAGTCATGAACTTTAAAAAATAAATGGTTTATAGGAAATACCTCACAGTGCTCTCGATAAAGACTCTGCAGTGATTTGATGTCCTCAAAGGTAGTACCATCTGGTAGAGAAGATATTTCAACTTCTCCAAACTCTGGAAGTACTCGAGATGCATCTGTTTCCATGACAACATAATGAAAGAAGACTATTGTGAACAGTGCCAGTTACAGAACAATTAAGAAAAAATTTAAGGATGACACAAAGAAATAATTCCAAAAGGTCATAATGTTCCTTTCATAGCTGTTGTATGTTAAAATTGTAAACGAATTCAGCCACCATTTTTTAATGAAAAATAAATACAGAATTATTCTTGAAGACATTAAAAAGATGTCATGTACATACTACACCTATATAGAAAAGCTAACATACATGTTTTCAGAATATTACAGGATGAAGGAAAATATCTATGTCAGTGTATGAAAAATTAATCCCTCAATAGTTTTCTTCTTGTTCAACTGAAAAGTTTATATGTAGCCAGGTATGATGGGGCTTAGTATTCTCAATATACGTTTTTGTTTGAAATGTACTGGTCTTTCAAGTAGAGACAATGTGTGCTTTTACTATTTGTCACAAACGTTTCCAAGAGACAAGCTGATATAAAAGAAAAATGGTGAACTGAAAGGTACCTGGAAAGGAAGATTCAAAATATTTTAATGCTGCCCTTATGTTCCCAATGATTTCAATAACAGTGAAATTAGGCAAAAGGATTTGGTGCTTGTAAATCCCAACCAAATAAGCCTGCACCTTCTGCAATAACACATCCAAAGAGTCTTTCTACATAAGCAAATAACTAAATTACCATTTGTTTCCATTACTGAGAATACATGCCTGCCTGGATCAACGAATCCACAAATTGGACATTGTTAAACATGAACTTTGGCGTTCTAGTTGAAACTATCTGGCTCTTTCCACTTATAACACTACAGCACACTTTCAAAACAGCCCACTGGATGGCTAACCTGCAACAGTAATGCAACACCACCACCACCCCTTTTATGAAATAAAATGTACTGTAATGCACATGCAGGGAACAACTTTCATCGCAGAAATGTCAATATGCATGTCTAATATAACTTTGCACAGGACCTGTATTCTGATTTATATAATATTAAATATATAACACAAATACAGAATTTGCATATTTTTTCTTTTATACTTACATGATGCCTATTAAATATTACTCACAACACAGAACATGTAATTTAAGTGCCTTTATGTTCTGTTGTGAGTAAGAATTTTAAAGAGGGAATGGTAACTTCAGAAGCAACTATTGTACTTGTGTGACTTGATATCCACAGTGATAATGAAGTTCATCTTATTTATTTATACAGCAGTATAAAACCTGCTTTCGTACCTAAAAACTGTTGATGATGTTGACTTTGGGCAATTACAGTTTGTTCAACAGATGTGCCTGTCTGTTGCCCACTTCCTGTGAAGCCATCTGCAACTCCATCCACTTTCTGCATAGGCTTATACCTACAAAAATATCAAGTACAAAATTATCCTTTCTGTTCACTTCTTCAAAAATAAGATCATACAATCTATGTTTGCTCTGATTTCTCCACCTCAAAATAAAATTTTGAGAAAAAGAAACAAACTAATTTACACATTTTTATTTATTTTGTAAATAACAGAAGAAACTATTACTAAGGAATGCTAGAGCATTAACAATGCATTACAGAATTCATAAAGGTAATATTAGAGCACTGCTACCAGTTTCTTGTGGAATTTAGCTTAGGAACAGCATGCTATAAGACCAGCTAATTTACACCAAAAGGAATCAAATCTTTCCCTTTCCAAATAGCTTGACTTCCCAATAATTATGTAATTAACAAATAATGGTTCATTACCTTAAAAAAAACCAACACTACTGCCTGAGGATAGTGAAAGACTTTTCAAATCCAACAAACTTCTCTCATAAGCACAGAAGGCCTGAGAAAGCTACTTGCAAACCTAAACTCTTCACTAGTCAATTCTCAGAATCTGTTATAAAGGACAAAAATCACAATGATACAAATGGGAATGCTGGTTTGGATGGTCAAGTGTAGTCTCAAAAATCAGTCTGGCAGGCTGAGGATCATGCCTGTCGCTTCCAACACAACTGAGAATTTACTCTGTCCCAGGTCTTACTGTTACCATTAAGGTAACATTACCACATTTTGGACGCTTTGCACTTTTGAAAAAGAATTGTAGTCACTGGAAAAGAAAACAAGAGAAATCCCAAAGCTAAATAAAATGTGTTTTAATGATCACTCAAACTGGAATTGTTGGGCAGACTGTAGAACTCCATGCTAACTTCAGAAATGTGACAAGAAATTCCACTCTCGATGCATTACTTTGAGAAGCAGTTTAATCAGGAACATTTCATTTTGTTTCCAGTAAACATAAACCAGCATTGTCTCATGTAATTACTGAGATTTTACTTTAAAAGGAAGTTCCCATGAAAAACATCCATTCAATATTCTAGGCGTTCCTGACATGAAGCCAAATATACAATAACAAAAGACAGACAGAAAGTACACTTTTCAACAGAAAGACTCCTGGTCTGATTAACAAATATTTTTATAACTTCAGAAATTTCAATGCATGGGAAAAAAAAAAAGACACCTATTCCTATCCTATCTCTAGGACATTTATATAAAGTTTCACTTTCTGTAATGGTTCAGTGTAAAATCTTATTCCTGTTGAAGACAGTAGTGAAACTCTAATCAACTTTATTAAAGACTAAAATTTCATCTCTGGTATCACAGTAGCACTGAACTCTTCTGGTTGAGCTTGTTATTACTTGATAAATCTACCTGCAATACAGGCAGTTCATCTGGGAAGAATTCTTAATTTCTCTCTCATTATACATTATAATTACAAATACCAGGCAGAAGATCAACTTCTGGAAATATTTGTAAATCTAAACCTACAGTTTAAGATAGTTCCATTACTTTCTGTAAAATGTATTATTTCACTGACCCTTCAGCTCCTGAAATAGCATTCAAAATGTGTTGAATACATAAAAATAACACTCCTCTAAGAGTTTTTCAGTTATGCAAAAATCCTTTTAATTAAAGTATAAAAGCCAACTTAATTCTTTGGTGCTAGAAATCAGGATTATCCACCCACTCACTCCACTGTGCTTTATAGAAAACATGCTGGGCAAAATTCTTCATTCTGGCACTGTGATAGGTAACTTGTCACAGGAGTTAACCAGTTTCAAGAACATTAGCAAATCACTTGCAAAATGAAACCAAAGAATGAAAAAAAGAAAGTCTTTTTCAGGAGCTTCAGATGAAACATAAGCAGACAGCGGTTAACAATTTTAGATCTGCTCTCTTTTATGTACAAATAGAGCTTTGGCAGTTTAGACATCAAACAGCTCTCCAGAACTCTTTAGTTAAATTTGAGCCATTTTTGGTGCATGGTAACTGGTAAGAGTTACATTTTCTAAAATTATCCAGACTTTGACTCTATATCCCTATTTTACTCACTACTAACCTATATCTTATTTCACCTTTCACCCTCTTCTTTTAAATTACTAGGTGCTAGGAGACTGGGAGCAGAAAATAATAACTGACCTTACATGAATATTACAGCTTTCTAATGATGCTTGACCCAGAAAGGACACCATTTGAATTTTATATAGGTTAGCATAAACACGGTAGAAGTTTGCAAAGTCTTTAGTTAACAACAGACATTTTCTCAATTTGTGCAAAGCTATGAAAATAAAAAAAAAAAAACAAACCCTAAACACTGAAATCAGAACGTGGAATCAGGAAATTCAGAAATGACACTGAATGATACGCTGGTCTCACTTTGCAGTTAATTTAGAATACAAATTCATTGACTTCCATAGTTTAACTGTGACATAACTTCATTAACAGAAACTTTCTCTCTCACTGCAGAATAGATTAATAACTTCCTGACTAAAGTTATTGTGCAGCAAACAATCCATATTCATTAATAAGATAAAGCAGAAAAGGGAAGTATAAAATGCCTGCTTGGTTTGAAATGCACATATGAAATTGGTAAGGAAAAGAAACAAACTGACAAGTATTAGAATGATAAGAAGCCAAAATGGATTAGCTAAGTCACAAGAGAGACAAAACCCAGCAGCTTTTTCAGTTAAATTTTCTGCAGCTTTTGTTGTTTCCTTGTACTGTTGCCATGCTGCCACTATTTGGATTTTACTCGAAGTCTTAGAATTTAGTATTTTTCTGAAAAAAACAACTCACGTTGTTATGCAATTTATAATATTCTTTCTTTTTCTTAAAAACTAAGGTTTTTACCCTTCTGGCTCACTAAAAAAAACAACTGTAGGGGTTGCAGAAAGAAACAGAACTAAGCTCTAAGTATTCTCTTCTATTTTATTTTTATTTAAATCTATCATTGTGATTTAACACTGGGAGTTCACTGAGGCCTGTGAGATGTGCGTTAATGCACCAAACTATGTAACAAAATGGTGACCTTATGCATAACAATGTATAAAGTATGTTAAAGCATTTTACTACTGTGTCCAAATAAAATGTTGCCATTGACACCACTAGGGGAAAAAAATCAACATTTAAAATTAGCAGAAAGCAAAAGTTGATTCAAACAGCTTGTAACACCACAGGCAACACATATGGAATCTGTTGACTATAGGAAAATTGAAGAAACTCAAATGCTTTAAAAAGTTATTGAAGATGCAAAACTTGCAAGTAACAAAGAAATACCTGAGAAGCATTTTGATGCCGTCAGAAAGTTTTGGTGCGTAGATCAAGTTTGTACTAGTTGCTTTCTAGTGTTTGAAGAAAATAAAACCACTTCTGTGTATATTGTTGTGCATATATCATAAAGCCTCAAAAATAATGCGGAGGCTGTATTTCAATAAAAGCATGGTTATTTGAAATCAAGTATCGTAAAACTGTAAAGAAATTTAAGGAATGAAAATTTAATGTGTGTGCTTTTAAAACATATCTCCTCAGTCCAATAAGCATTGTCAAGATACGCTTAATCTAGAAGCCTATGCAGAACTTCCTAGTTTTTTAAGCCACAATCACCTCGGCATCTTAACCATACTATACATAAAATATCTGTGCTTGTTCAAGAGAAAGACTGGGGTTTTTTTTCTGAACTACTCCATTAGGAAGTTTTTTAGTAGTTTATGATAAAAGTTCTCTTATTATCATTTTAGGATATTTTGTCTTAACAAACTTGTAGCCCAGTTTTACAGATGTTGGTATTAGTTGGACTATGACACCTTGCTCTCTATCTTCAAAAAGAATACCACTATAAAAATACATAATTTCTCTGTTGTCCATAAACCCAAGCCCTTTTTAAAAAGATCTATAAATACTTGATGCTTTGGACTCCCAGTGGCTTGTTTTAAAGGTAATGTGTGACTGAACAGTATATCCAGGAAACATGAGGATACAGGAAAGAGAATAGTAGAAAAATACAAACTATTTTCTACATAAAATAAATACATAGGGTAAACAACATCTATAGGAAGTAGTGATTAATGATTTCTGGTTAGAACAATAATAGATGTGTTAGCTGAATGTTATAACGTACAGTAAATAACAATACAGTTATTGTATTTATTTTAAAAAATCTTAGCTGAATGTTCAGCTCCCATAAATGAAGGCAAAAAGGTATAATCATTGTGTGCAAGAACTGAAAGATATATTTGAGATTAACTTGGAAAGCTGGAGGTTTACTTCTGGAAGTAGAATTTAAAACACACGTTGTTATGAATGCCCGAAAGAAAAGACAAGCATACCTGTATCAGTTTCCCTAGACTAAGCCGTAAAGATAATTCAGCTTCTGAGCCACAAGCTTCTACTCAGGAAGAGCTAAATAAAAACAGGCTAAAAATGGAACTTGATTTTAGGAATTGTATCTTTGATACATTTCCCTTAAATGATCTGGCAAGGAACAATTATGGGAAAGAGATTTCATAATAAAATTGTACTTTAAAGTGGCAAGTGTTTAGTGCTAGACTTAAAACTGTGCAAATATATTTGGCATAATATTTGGGTTGGATATTACTTTATTTCTTCCTTGTCTGAAGTCCATTCACTGTTAGTCAGGCCTGTGTTTCATCCAGAACTGATGCATAATACAACCATGTAAATGTGCTGGTTTTTCCTACCCTGGAAAACATCTAGGAGCAAGATGACAGAGGCAAGCCAGGCCTTCTCTTGCAAATCTGAGCCATACAGCAGGTCCAGCTGAAAGGCAGGTTGTTAGGTATTATCTTCCAGCTAAGACTAGTTGTTAACTGTGCATTTCTTCAGTTCACAGGTGCTTTAAGTCTCTTGATATGTGGTTGTTGTCACCAAACCACTGTCTCAGCTGGAAGATAGGACTGTCAGCATCTGTGATCTGTAGTTATTCTGTTTTTCCTTCTTAGTGGAACAAAGAAAGAGTACTCCCATAGCTCACACTGATCATAACCAAGACTAAGCAACTAACAGCATTACCTTCCATCTGAAATTTATGTCTGATAAATCTCAGACACCTGAATTCAAGCCCAGAACAAACTCTGAACAGGAACATACAAAGGCACTTTGGGATATTCAAGTTACGCAAATAGAAAAGGTGCATGGCCCTCAAATTAAGAAAAGAAACAAAGAAGAATGATCTGTAGCATATATTCAGTCCACAGTCTTTGCCAAAAAGAACTAGAAGTGTTTATCCAATTAGATGTGTCTGATGGAGGTGGTAGAACTGGTGTAACTACACAGGAAAAGTATATTGACTGCAATTTAGCACTGATTTAAAGGACAAAAGAAACACTAGAAATATTAATAAAGCTGGAGAAAGAGTGGTATTATCCTAATCATGCAAATTATAATATTCAGTCCTTTAGTCATCTCTTAATAAATCCTGCTAGAATTCTTCAATACACTAAGATAACTATGATAAAAATACAGACATGTATCAAAACCTGAAACTAGATACTAAGCATGTTCTGTAAATGTGGAAGAAATCTTACTTCAAAAATACAAGTTCACTTTTTAAATTGTGCACTGAAAGTTTTTTAAGTCAAGCCATTTTTATATTTAGCATTTTTTTTACCCCAAAACCCTAGCTTCTGAGGGCTGCAAAAGACAAGCGTATCTCAGTTTCCATTGAAATTAATCAAGCAAAATATACAGACATTTTTATTTCAAGCATGTGGCATAAAGCTTGACATTGTACAACCAAAGACTACCCTAAAATTAAATGTAAGGCTACAAAGAGAGAAGAATGGACCAAACCTCATAATTTCTGCATGCTAGAGAGTGGCTGTAATGAAATAAACAGGCTAGATTGTGGAATAATTTAATATATTTGTTAAATCTTTCTCTAAAATTACTATTATAATCAGCACATTCCAAAGAGACAAAAGTGTTCCAGAATCATCACACTTGTCTTTAAAAATCCCTGTTTCTGTTAGAAAATTTTGCAGTGTTCTGGTTTAAATAAGTATGAATAAGTAAGTTAAAGTAATAGTGACTCATGAGTTTCCATTCTTTAATGAAAATTTCCTATATTTTGTTGGATAAACATCTTCATTCTGAAAATGTCTATATCCTATTCAGTATTGCTAGTATGTTTGATGGTACGCAGAGGAGAGACAGTATACATTTTTCACAGTGCAATTGTCCAAGTCTGGCTAGCTCCTTGATCTCTGCATTTTATTTATTTAGGATGCTGGGATTTTGGAAAGACACAAAATATTTTACTGAGATCTGTGTACCCTGAACTAAGGGATGAACAAAGATCCTCAGACCTACTTTGTATGAACAGTAGGACTATGTGAATAATTCTTCAATTTCTAGGGTACCTAACTGGACATCACAAGATGTCAACAGTGTAAAGAGATCAGGCTGTCTTTTGTCTTAAAAGGCAAGAAGGTAAGTAATGCAAGTTCCTGAGCAAAGAGATAAAGTTTCATCTAGGAAGGTATTTTGGGACAGCTGCTTTTAAAGATTTAATAACAAAGTCATTGTCATTATTTAGATATAACAACATGGTGGTCTTTTCTGCAGTCAGTATTGCAAATAGGTGATAGAGGCTTCCACTTCCCTCCTTTTCCTGTTGTCTTCTGTCTTACTGCTAGCTTCAACTGAAGATACTGCATAACCAACTTTTCTACTACAGCACAGTATTTTCCATGTAACCTACTCAGCAGAATTACCCAGTGCCTTGTAGTTCACATCCTTCATCAGTATCTTGACAGATTCTCGCAGCAGAGGTTAAGGTTGGCATGAATTGACTACGAATGGGAGCGTGCTTGTGCGTGTATGTGTGTGCACACCCAAAACATGGGTTAAAGGAACTGTATGCACTAAGTGCTACACAATGCCACATGTGTGATTTCATTCAAATATAACCAGGGAACAAACTGACATGAAGATAATGTTAAGAAAATACCACCAAATATACCTCGGTAAGGAAAATAAGGGAACTACATAAAACATATGGTGGTGGTAAACAAAATAATAAAGCAAATAATGAAGAAAAGTAGCATCCACTCCTAAGAGTTATATAATGCAAGTTCAAAATCTCTTTGTCATTGTGAATCAGGAAGACAAGAAAGGTGATGATGATTAGAAAACTGGCATCATTTCTCCAGAAACAATTTCATAGAAACAATTCTAGTTAGACCATTGTGGCATATGTCTTGGTGCATATATGTGATTTTGAGTGTGAGTGAATGAAATCTGTAAGAGAATGAGGTTCAGTGGGTAAAATAAGCTTGCTTGGAGATTTTGTAAATACCTACCACCTTTTCTTACCATATAATCCTGTGATGATTTTTGTAACAAGAACTTCCTACATGATCATGTTGGAAGACATCTCATGCTTCCGTATTATGCCTAGCACAGGATAGTTAGACCATATATCTTACCGTGAATATGTATTTAGTGCTGTAACTACTTCTGGAAGTGACAGTAAAATAATTTCAGATTAATGTGATATCTGTGTTAGAAGTTAAAGTTTGAAGTTGTGTTTTCCATATCCCAGTTGTGTCCAAGGCCACAAAACATGCTTAGTACACTATACCAAACTGTTCATTCAATTGGATTTTTTGGGGGTAATAGCTCTAAAGATGTCTTGCTTGATATGCTGCTGCTCTACCTACGAGTTTCATGAAGTTGCACATCTTAGATATCACTTTAGGGTAATATGGGAGGCTAGTTTCATCAGCCAAATAAAAATTAGTTTTAAAGAAATGTACTGATTTCCATTTTTTTCCTAAAATTTTCTGTTCAAGGTAGTTTTTCATATGCATATTCACATTCTTTCATCACTGGCATAGCCCTTTGTGGTCACTGTGCCACTGCTCTTAAATACTTCTGAGCTTTCACAGGATCCTCAGGAACAACAGATGCTGAGGGAAAATACTGAAATCAGCTTACAGGCAAACCATTACGATCACAGTAATTCTTTGCAGGGAGAGGAAATAAACATCAACCTGAACTTAATCATAAGCTCTTTTATAAGCAACTTATATGAAAATGATACAGTAATGAAAACAAACAACAAAATTTGAAATTCAAGCTCTTACTGCTTTTCTTCAGCTTGTGGGATAAGCACTCAAGATAGTTAAGAAGAGTGTGTTCATATCATATCTCACTTTACTATTACCACTTCTTGCAAATTTATGATAATTTCTAGGTAAATATTCTTTCATGTTGATGAATACCTAACTGCAGTGATGTCAGCTGGATATCTAGCAAACTTTTATTTTTCACAGCAGAGAAGCTGAATGAAAGTTACATTAGAATTTCAACGTTTCTATGTAAGGAAAAGTAAGGCTTTACGAACTAGACATATTAATAGGTATTCATGTGCATTTCACACTTTACCTCTGTTTCTGCTGCATGGGCTGTTGTCTCATAGCCATATATTGCATGTCCTCTTGTAGTCGATTAAGAGGAGAGTCTGGCTTGACACGAATCCCATAGTAATGATATTTGGAGTTCCCCCTTTATGAAAGATCAAGAGTTAAGAGAACAGTAACACTAGTTTTATGCATCTATATTACAGTTACTTTACAATGTACATTGACTGGAAAATAATACCCACAAATCAGGCCCGACTCTCCTGTCATACCTGTTTTACATGGGTGTCATTTCACCACCTTTGGGAAATTAATTCACTCTCATAAACAAATATTATCCAGCATTTTAACTTGCAATCCACTTGAGTAAGAAAAATAAAATGCAAATAAATACAACTTATCTAGTTATGGAGAAACGCAATTCTTAGTAATTTCCAAACAACAAGCTACATTTTATTTGTACTGATAAAAATCTGCAGTGTATTTATCAAAATGTAAACACATAAACAGTCAAAACCAGCAGAAATACAGTAACATCTGGAAAAGCATAAAACTATTTAACATTAAGAGGCAGAACTGACAGAAAACCACTGTAATATTTAAATACAGGTTTTATTTATTTTTTTACTAGCAGACAAGTTTCTTGCTCATAATTATTACTTGTATTTTCTATTATAGTTCAGGATTTCATTAACACAAACCTAGTTCCAAGTCTTCTGGTCCGTAATCCCATGAAGATTGACCGTATGAGTTTTCCAAAGGAGGCAGCATTGACTGGATCCAACTTGTGTTCCTGACAATGTCGTAAATAATGGTTGTAAAGGGTACTTCTTGGAAGGCTCACTCCTTCTGCAGTTTCATAGTTGTCTAAAAGCCACTGAAGCTATATCACATACAAAACAGAAAAAAAAATCATTATTACTTTATTAAAAATATCTTAGCCTTACAACATTAACTTATGACAGTTTTGAAACCACTCTTCAGGTCTATTAAACAATTACTTCCTTCTTCAGAGATTCCTTAAATGCTAGCTATACCATAGTGCTTTAGCATCTTCAGAATTACCAGGAAATAGCAGAACTCATTGCACCTGTGACCTCAGGTAAGTGTCCACTTCTTAAAATATTTTTGATTCAGTATGACACACCAATACTTGATAAAGGTATCTATGCTTTGGAGACAAACTGTTAGTACTGCAAAGAAATAAAGTAATCATGAATGTAATTCACATAAATTGCAGAAAACAAACTCCTTGGACTAACAACAGTTAGCTAATGTATTTGTAAACCTGGAATATTATACTGTTTTTCTTTGCCTGATATTAAAAAACATTATGACACTTAACTGAATAGGGTATTTTTTACTCTCAAATACATAAAAGAAAAAAGCTACTGCATATAAGTCAAAGAGCAACCTAGATAACACTGAAAATAACTGGTACATCTATAAAATATTAGAGGTGTAATCCCTTTCAGTTGTAGCCTGTTTGCCTTTGACTTCCAGGAGGAACAGAATGAGATTCTCGGACAAGTATTAATCTTTTCATGTAACCGTGGTAGGTAATTTTAGACACACACAAGAAAAATCTTATGTAATTTCACTGGACTTCCGAAGTAGTGTACACCTCTAGCTGTCACTAATATAGAAAAAAGTAAAAAGGACAATTTAATGCCCCTAGACTTAACATTATAGGAGAATGACAAAATAGATCAAAAATAATATAGGTTGAAGACGCATTTAAATTCCACTGGTTTAGTTTTTTGATATGCTAATAACAATGTCCCCAGTACTTGCCATAGTTTCAGTTCCCTAAAATTTTCCTTTAGATATAGCTTGAATGAGTCACAAATTTAATTTTCTTTTTGAATTTTATTTCTCTGTTTTCCTAAGTATTTATACCAAAATAGTACAGTGTGAATATTCAAGCTTGCTAGGATCAGAGATCTTACCAAAACTCTGGACTTAATTTGATTATCCAGTAAAAATGCAAGCTAAGGACACTGTATCTTCAAGACTTGCTACAAACTTTTACTCTGATGAGCTAGAAACTGACACAAAAGTGTAGAAATTTTCAATTTAGTCCAGCAAAGCAGTAACCAGTATAAGCAAAACACAAATTATTAGGCGACAATAAAAGATATACATGGTCAATGTGTTATTTATTCTTTTGCTGAATTCTTTTCTGTTACAGCAGTGCACAAATTCTGTTCCATCAATGTTCAGTGTAACTTATCACGCAAAGAACATTAATATTTTAGCGTGCAATAGCCATGAAATGTTTCAGTCCTGACCTTTTCTTTATCACAAAACTATTACGTACTAAAGTACAGATGATAACAACTACATTGAATTTATAGCTATGTTTTACTCACAGTGAGAAATTCACCAATACAAATGCAAAAATATTACTAAAAAATTTACTCTAGACCATTCAAACATATTTTCCATATTTGCTTTTTACTGAAAACATGCCCATATGTTTCCATGTTTCTAAAACACAAGCTCTAGAAAAATATACAAAATTAAGATGTAAATGCTTCCAGGACATAAAATTTTTAGTTCAGTTTGCAGGTCATTTGGCATTTCAAATAGACAAAATGAAAAAGTACAGTTCATCATCTTTATATCAGTTATTGTATCATTATTTTAAGAGCCTTAACATTAAAATGCTTCCAAATTGAGCATCTGTCTCTTTTAAATAAAGCTGAAGAAAAAGTGTAATTGTAAACGTTAACTTTTATCTGAATGAATTAAACTTATTTCACTAATGACCTGACATAAGCCTGTCTGGGCTTAGAAACAAAGATAATTATAACTTTCAACTGTTGCATTTTATCTATACTTAAAATCTATTATTACATCTAAATTTATATTATATATAT